TAAGCTGCATTAAAAAGGTTAACCTCTCATAAGGGATGGAGCCTGTCCTCTGAAAAAGACAATGGTATTACCACATTACCAACGGAACACTCACAGCTCTACTAAATGAATAGCTCTTCTCATCGCAAAATACATAATTTTCTCTTCTCTTTTAAAAATGTCAGGATGTATCTTCTAACTCGGTTTATTGAGTTACAGGGCAATCAAGATCCTCAAAACCCACATTCCTTACTCTAGGAAAAACGTCAGATATATTCTTTAGGAATGTTGCTTAACATACAACAACCTGATTCCTGATTCCTGAATATTCACATATACGGTTATGTATATTTATAAAAACCCCCAAGAATCAATATCATGAGTAAATAAAAACCGAAAAAAATGGTAATTCAGACAATAATGCAATCAAATTCCAATTTAGAGCAAATACGCGGTCAAATTACTGCGACGTGCTCCTCTGATTTTTTTTTTTCTCTAAAAGAGTAAAATCAACGCAAAAGCTAACAAAAATGTTTATAGAGAAGGAAACCCTACCAGCTGACGCTAGAACAAGGTGCTGTTATCCTCCAAGCAAGGAAGCTGAATGCAAGTAGGACTATAAGATAGCCGTGTTTCTTTCGGAACAACCTAACACTCCGTTTCTTCTTGCAACCTTGATTCTGTTAGATGATGGAAAGAGAGTGGAGATTTAGGTGCTCAGTCTGTTTGGCTCTCAGGTTTTCCAAGAGAGAAGATAAATATAATTGGCGGATTACGGTGAAGGTGCAATAATGCCGAGAAAAAGAAAGGGGCTGCAGATTTGAGGTAAGGGAATGAAGCTTTGGCGAGATAGTGATTTCAGGTCACTTGCCAAGAGAGACAGGGAGAAAGAGAAGGTGGAGCTTCGGCGTGGAGACAGTGAGAGAGAGAGGGTATTTTTCGAAGGAGATGACTGAGTCAGAGTGTTCGTAGTGCGCGAAACCAGAGTACGAGTTGCGGGTCACCTGCGCAGAGAGTTGGGCTGGTCCGCTTGGAGCTTGGGCTCTTTGAGACAACAACTTTTTATTTTGGTTTAATTGATTTAATTAAATTTTTTAAGAATTAATTATTGAACTTCATTTTATTTATTAAATCAATAAAAATTTTCATATAAAAATAAATATACCAATCATAATATAGCATAAGAGAGTTTCTAAACAATAACATACGAAAAAATACATTTTAAATATTTAATTAAATACTTAATTGTTTCTTTTTTTATTAAAAAGAAAATTATTTATTTAATTAAAAAATATTTAGTAAAAATACATATTAATATAACGTATAAATAATAATCGTAATATAAAGCAATAATTATGCAATTAAATAGTAATTAGTAAAAATTTATATTAATGTAACATGTACATAATAATCATAATATAATTAAAATAATCTTTAAATAAAAATATAAAATAAAATATTATTTAATAATCATAATATAACTTTTTAACAAAAATATATAAAAATGCATAATGTGACTTAATTCACAAATTTAATAAAATAAAGAAAGAATGAATCACAAACAGTTATGAAATAAATATATCTAGTGAATTGCTTTTACCCTTTTCCATACATACACTTATCCATCCATTACAGATATATATACATACATACATACATACACACATACATACATGCATACATACATACATATATATATATATATATGTATATGTATATGGTGAGTTAATTCAGGAAGGAGAAAAGGAGAGAATGGCATTGAGGATAGCAAGGCATTCAGTAGGAAGGCCAAGAAAAGAATTCATGAAGAAATCATCAATGGGATCAACAGTTGCCACACCCACCAATCTGCACCTTCCTTCTTCATCCAACCTTTCTCCTCTTCCACTTCTCACCTTCCCATTCGATTCCTCACTCGTCAAAACTGTCTTCACCATCAATGGAGGTGCTCTGTAAATACTCCCAGCAGAAAACACGAACTCCGCCATAAACTCAAGATCAACCTGATCACACACATATATATAACACAATATGTAAACAAACAAGCCAGTGTTAATTCAACGTAAAAGCTATAATAAAGAGATAAGAAAAGGCGTAATCCAACCTTCCCAGATTCTTTATTAATGCTTCCTTGGAACAGTTGAGGTACTATATCGATCTTTAAAAATGGCGGCATTGGTAATCCCAGGAACCTTGTTGTTTCACTTGTCAATGGTGGAATATACAGACATTCCAAGTCAAAACAAACAGAAATCTCATTACTGTTCAAATCGTCTCCATCTTTAATCCTTATAACAGTCCCAGTTCCTGCTCCTCCTTCAGCGTTATATTCGAAATCTGGGTACCTGGAAATGCCAAGTTTGCAAGATCCCAGAGTTTTGAAATCAACCCTGCTGGTTTTTGGCAACTGGGTTTTGGCGGGTGCGGAGATGGAAATGGGTTCCTGCTGATTCCGGATGCAAGAAGGTTTTCTTGGTCGCAGAATTAAAGGGCTTATGGAGTTTATTTTACAGACCATTTTTTTTCTCTTGGAATCTTGTTCTGAGTTATGTGTTCTTCCAAAACCCAGGAGATACCAGTTGCCATTCTACCAAAAATATGAGGCCAGATTGAGTTTTTGATTTTGGACCTTATCTTTTAATTTGTAAATCCTTATAAATATAATTTGACCATATTGTCCCTCAAAATCCCACATTAAATCAATGTTTATCTACCCTTTAAATATCAGACTTTAATATAAAAAAAAATATTAGTATCATAAAGCATAAGTTCTGAATAATAGATGCTCAGCTTTCATTCGAAACCTTGCACTTACACACTGCTTAATGGCAGTAACAACCTGCAAGAAGCTTCGAAAATTATTTATCTAAAAGATAGTAAGAAATGATAAAACATGACCGGCTAAGCCATGTATGCATCACTTCATTATTGTTTGTACAACACAATACGCACATACAAACACACATTATATGTATAGTTGATCAGCATATAGTTGATCAGCAAGTTGCAGTCTGCAGTTTCTGTGGTAGTGGCAACGCCCAGTACATCAAGGATTCCAATTTCCATTAGCGGGATCATCCATGGAGTCATCTAGA